ACAAAACACCAAAATATGTCCCATGAGGAGGGGATAGTCTCTTCAACAGATGGTGCTGGTAGAACTGGAAAATGATATGCAAAAGTCTGAAACAAGACCTTCACCTCACGCCATATACAAAAACCAACATGGATTAAGGATCTAAATGTGAATCCCAGAATTATGAAGGTCATCAATGAAAAATTCGGAACAAATGTGAAGACACTAATGATGGGAATACATGGACTACAAAAAAGTGTTTACAATGAAGAAGTCACTGGTCTTGCAAAATTCTATCATGCAATCTCCAGCAACATTTCTATCACCAAGGCCTTATTTTCCAAGTACTGATCCTTCCTGTTTCCAACCTTTGCATTCCAATCATCAGTAATTATCAATAAATCTTGATTGCATGTTTGATCAATTTCAGAATGGTAGAATTTTTCTATTTCATTATCACTGACTTGAGTGGCTGGTATGAAAATTTGACTACTAGTGGCAGGAACTGGTCTTCCTGGTTGTTACTAAGTGACGTTGAGTCGATTCTGACTCATAGCGAGCCTGTATATGTCTTCCTTGTAGGCATATGCGTATTATCCTATTACAGACAGTGTTGGACTTCAAAACAGATCTGCTTGATATGTTCTTTTTGATGATGAATGTGACGCCATTCCTCTTCAATTTGTCATTCCCAGCACAGTAAACCATGTGATTGTTGGATTCAAAATGGCCAATACCAGTCCATTTCAGGTCACTAATGCCTAAGATATCAATGTTTACGCTTTCCATTTCATTTTTGACAATTTCTAATGAACTTATTTCACACATTCCATGTTCCGATTATTAATGGAATGTTTACAGCTGTTTCTCTTCATTTTGAGTTGTGCCCTATCAGCAGATGAAGGTCCTATGGGCTTTTCTCCGTTTGCATCATCACAGTCAACTCTTGCTTTGAGGAGGCAGCTCTTGCTCAGTTGTAATTTGAGTGCCTTCCAACCTGAGGGTCTCATCTTCTGGCCCTATATCTGACAATATTCTGATGCTCTTCATCATGTTTCAATATTCAACATTGTGGTGCTAGCTGATAGTGTTCCACTGCTACTCATAAGATTTTCAGTGACAAAATATTCAGTAGTCTGTTCCTTCTCTTTTATGGTCTGTCTTCATCAGGAAGCTCATCTGAAACCTGTCCACCACGGGTGACCCTGCTGGTATTTAACATACCCCGTGGCATCACTTCCAGAACCACAGCAACATAGAAGTCACCACAGTACGACAAACTGACATACAAGTGGCGGCCAATTTTATATGACTTAAAAAAAAAAAATTAAGTTCTTTGATATTGCTCAGAGTACAGACTATGCATGTATATCAAATATACTCATATGCATGTGAAAGTTAGACAATGACTAAGGCAGACCATAGAAGAACTGATGCATTTGAACTATAGTGTTGGAGAATACTGATAGTACCATGGACTGCCCGAAGAATAAACAAATCTGTGCTTAAAGTAGTGTAGCCAGAATGTTGCTTACAAGCCAGGATAGTCAAGACTTAGTCTCTCCTATGTCAGGCAAGTTATTACGTTATCTCTGGAGAAGGACATCATACTTGGCAAAGTAAAGCATCAGTGACTAAGAGGGACTGACGCAGTGGCAGCAGCAGCAGTGGGTTCAACTGTAAAGACAAATGTGAAGCTGGAGCAGGGCAGTTTGGTGTTTTGTTCTGGTGTGCATAGGGTCACCTTGAGTCAGAACCAACTTGACAGCACTTAACAATAACACAGAATATCATGCTCTATTTTAAAGTGGGTTATGCGTTGGGCTGTAAACCACAAGTTCAACAGTTCAAATTCACCAGCTGCTCCTCGTGAGAAAGAGGTTTTCTAATTGCATTAATTTTTGAACTGTTTCATAATCTTTCTTAGTTGACCTATCTCTAATGACTCACAAACAGCATCAAGCTCACAAAGATGCTATAATGAGTAAATGGTAGCCTGAAAAGCAACTTCATAAATCTCAAAGGCACAACAACAGTGGGGATGCAATCTTCAAGAGGACCTAAGAGACGACAGCTGCATTTTTCTGCTATCCTACCCAAATGTTTTCACACTCCAGCTATCAGAAAAAGCAGAAGCACAGCAGCTCACTAGCTTTTAGAGATGATACTTGGGTCTCTACTGTCATAATTACAGGTACAAATTTTATTACCTGTTTTCAAGCTCAGAGATGTCTGTCTGTAGCTTAAGGTACCACTTCTCAGCTTGGGAGAAAAGCTGCCGTAGAAGTAACACATTGGTGTAGGCAGCGTTGATGAGCTCAGACTCCACCTCACTATGAACCACGGCCTGTAACTCACTCAGGATCTCGGAGACCTCATCTACGGTGAGGGTCTCCTCCACCAGCCTGAAACACAAGAAGCCCACGTCAGGTCATCTAAGGGATTAGAGGGTCATCGTGAAAACCTCACTGCGAGGGACCTTTATTTATAAAACCATTAGTAAAAATTCCAATGAATTTTCAGTCTCTGTGCAAACAATTAAATTGTGACGCATACATTTTAATACCAGTGCAGTCTCAGAAACAATCCTAAAACTATAACCTATTTTTTTTTGACATTTTCATTTCTTTACTTCAATCGCTATGAGAATTGTTATCACATTCAATAGTTTCAAAAGGCAACTGGAAGGTATTGTTTCTCTTTTTTAAATTATTCTTTGGCATTTTAATAATTGAATAAACTATTAGCATGCTAGTTAAGTATTCACAAGGAGCTCTGGTAGCACAGTGGTTACGAATCGGGCTGCGAACCTCAAGGTAAGCAGTTCAAAACTACCAGCTGCTCTGCAGGAGAAAGATGAGGCTTTCTGCTCCCGCAAAGATTTACAGCCTCGGGAACCCTGTACAGGGTGGCTATGAGTTGGAACCGACTCCACAGCACATCACAACAACTGTTTAGTTTAAAGAAGATTTCAAGGGATACTTGGTTTAAGGCTTAGAGATTATTTCAGGGCAACAGTTTCAAGGGTTCATTGAGCCTCAATGTTTCCAGAAAGTCTGGATTTCTTCTGTATGGCATTCTCTCCTTCTCCATGCCTCTTGATCAGCAATCTTCTTTAGAATCTTGTATAAAAAGTTTAGTAATGGTCGTCAGGCTTTATCTAGTTCTCCTGATCTCATGAAAGGAGGCATATGCTCCTGGAGAGAATTAGTCACAGATTCCATTTCCTCTTCCCGACTCTCCTTCCTCTGCCATGCCATGCTCATGGAGACCAACTGCTATACCCTGAAGAGCTGTCTGCAAGTTTTTCAAGACGCAGACACTATATAATGAACTAGGAGGTAGAACAGAAGAACTAGAAATGATATCAGGAAAATTAACTGGGATGGCTCATGAAGCCATGGTCCTAAATCTCCAATCTGTGAAACCAAATTCCATTACTGCTTGGTTAGACATAAGCACAACGGCAGCTATTCTTCTCTGTTTGTTGTAAATTAGCCAATTCAACTTTTCACAAGTGTGCAACTTACAGCAACTGGTTGAACAACCACTACGCTTAGTCAGTTAGAACTTGCCAGCATAATAAATGGAAACTCAGTGCTTGTGTTAAGCTATTTTTTGATGCCCCAAGGTCATTATTATGAACAGCAATTACATGACCTATACTGACCACTGATGGACATTTTCTGGCCATCCTGCAGTCTCTACAAGTAATGTGATTTCACCTACTGGGGTCAAAGGTGCCCTGGTAATGTAGTGAATTATGGGTTGGTCTGCTAACCACAAGGTCAGCAGTTCAAATCTACCAGCAGCTCTACCTCAGAAACCTATCTAAGGTTGCTATGAGTGAAGTCGACTCTACAGCACATCACCACCGCCAACACCACCACCGCTGGGAGTCAGGAAACCAGATTACCAGATGAATGGATGAAGTAGACAATCAAATCTCAGGCCTATGACGGCCTCTGCTGCTCAAGGAAGTCCTTGGCTTTTTGACAGCTGTGGCTCACTCAAGGTCTTTCTCACTTGACATCTGAATGAGCCAAACCACTCTGATGTCCCTTTCTCATTCAGTCCTTTTCTTTGGTTCTCCTATAGTCCTCCAGGAAAAATGTATATTCACTGTGGACTTTAATTATCTTCAACTGTGGGTCCAATCAGACTAATTCTTACCTCTTGCTACAAATCAACTAACAGTATCAGTGTGGTCAGTAAGCTCTTCATGGTTTCCTTCTGTTTCCCACCTCAAGATATCAAACGATGTATTGCATTAGGCAAATCTGCGCACAAAACCTTTTTAAAGTGTTGAAGAGCAAACATGTCAGCTTGAGAAGTAAGGTGCGCTTGACCCAAGCCATGGTATTTCCAATAACCTCATATGCATGCGAACGCTGGACAGTAAACAAAAAAGACTGTAGAAGAATTGATGCCTTTGAGTTATGGT